ACTGTCTTCCAAAGTGGCTGGGCCATTTTGCATTCCCACCAGCAATGAGTGAGAGTTCCCATTGCTCCACACCCTCACCAGTATTTGGTGGTGTTGGTGTCCAGATTTTGGCCATTCTAAGAGATGTGTACTGGTAACCTATTTTTTCACTACTTTATATTGTAAGAATTTCCTTCATGAATATCATTTTTATAAATGTATAGTGGACCCAACACAGGGAGCTCAGATACAAAGTACTTAACCTACCTCTTACTGTAACCTGTTTAGATTTTTCTAATTTTCGCTATTATCAATAACATTCTGATGAACATTTTTGTACATAGATGTTTAGTTACATCCAATTGTTTATAACCCTTGAATATATTCTTAAAAGTGGAAATAACTAGCCAAAGAGTATAGACACTTTTAAGATTTCCTGGAAAAGTTCTATCACTTTACATTCCTATCAACAGAGCGAGGCACTCCCTCATCAGCAAGTATTACCAATTTTTAAACATTCTTGCCAAATCAGGCTTTAAAAAAAAGTAACTCATTGTTTCCATTTGCAAATCTTTGATCCTTACGTTGAATGTATAGCATTTCATGGTTTTTAGCCATTTGTACTTCCCTCTCTGTGAGCTCTATGTTCCTGTCCTTTGCTGGGACAGGCTTGTAATAGTGGCCCCAATAATCCTAACGTTGTCCGCAGATGATGCCAAATCTTGCATTCAGCCACATCTGATAGGAGGCCAGGCTCCGGCAGGATTGGAAATCGTCTGTGTCAGCATTACTGTTGCAATGAAACCAGAAAGGGGAAAGTTTTCCCGTTTTACTGGAATCTAGGAGATGAGGCTATTTTGCTGAGCTGCCTCTATTATATTATTATGCTTTCTCTTCTATTCAGACTCCCAAAGCTTCTCTTTTCTTAAATTCTGCTGTCTCGGGAGAGTAAGATTTGGTGTGCATGTGTCCTTTTTTTTTCTTTTTTCTTTTCCAGTATGTATTCATTGACCTCCTACTATGTGCAACACATAGTGGCCACATTCGTGGATTGTGGAATCTCAAGAAGAGCTGGGGCTTTGGAGCTGAGCAGACCCTCGGCAAATCCCTTAACGTCTCAGAGGCTCAATTTCCTGTTCTTTCTTTCTTTTTTTTTTTTTTTAATGTTTTATTTATTTCTAGGAGAGAGAGAGAGACAGTGTGAGCAGGGGAGGGTCAGAGAGAGAGGGAGTCACAGACTGAAACAGGCTCCAGGCTCTGAGCTGGCAGTCAGCACAGAGCCTGATGCGGGGCTCGAACCCACGAACCGCGAGATCGTGACCTAAGCGAAAGTTGGACGCTTAACCGACTAAGCCACCCAGGCGCCCCTCAATTTCCTGTTCTTTCAAGTACAGGGACAGCCCTACCTTTGGGGAATAAATATGTTATGAATGCCAAACTCCTAGAACAGTGTCTGTCCCTTATAAGACTCCACTGAGCTCAACAAACAATTCTCGAGCCACTTCTGTGTATATGACAACATGCTAGGTACTGAGCCTACAAAGAGGAATCTGCTGCCTGCAGGACAAAGTCCAGGCTGCTCATCTGCTCTGACAAGGTCCTCTCTGACCTCTGCTCTTCTGTGGCCCCTCATTAAGTCTGGTGGCCCCACGTGTCATGGTGGGTTGACAGCCTTGGGTCTTAGCCACAGTCCTGGAGCAACAGGAAGAGTGCCGGTCAACATTCTGCTTCACACAGAGTCACAGCTATAATTTTTCCCTGTTTCTTTTTAACGTTGTATCATAAGCATTTTCCCTTTACAACATAATTCTTAAGGGAACTACTCAGCCAGCCAGCCTCAGTTTGATTTCTAGCTCTGTCACTTACTAAGTGACCTTGGGCAAGTTGCTTAACCTCTCTGTGCCCTAGTTTCCTAATCTGTAAAATAAAGATAATAATAGTGCCTTCTTCCTGGGTTTTCTTTTTTTTTTTTTTTTTTTTAGGATTAAACAAAATATTTCCTGCATAGCCTTCAGTGTAATATCTAGCACACAGTAAGAGCTCAATGATCTATTATTAACATTTACTATGCTTTCTCCATAGCAACCCTGACAATGACTTTATATGGTTAAACTGAACAGACTGAATAACGCTTTTGTCTGACATTGGATGGTTAAGGTGTTTCTGATTAAACACAAAATATTATTCCTAAGTAATTAAAAGAAAAGTTATCTTGTGGTTTAGAGATAAAGACAGAGCAAAAAGTTTAAAGAATTAAATGTTGGAGGAACCAACATGAATACACTTAAATTACCTTTCAGAATAATCCAATATTTTTGATACAGATTACAGGGTAATTACCCTATCTTAGATACCTGGGCACATCCCTGTATGAGGCCAAGTGCTGGCCTGGAGCATGTTGGTGAGGACTTCTAGTCTTTATGATTCCCCAGGCAAAGAAGCTGTATCAGCTTTTCTCCCCTACTGCCAGAGAAGCTCTGATCTAGCACATCTTTAGGGCCAACCCAGCATTTTCTAGCTATATCTTGCAGAGAGCTGGTAAGGCAACTGTCAGGCCATGTCACCTAATGGGAAAGTTGTGACACAGAGGGTTTTTTTTGTAGTCCTTCAGCCAACAAGGCTCAAGGTTAGCTCACATGTAAATGAAAAATGAACTATACAGTGCCTTCTGTATACCATGCTCTGAGGAAACATCCTCTTCAATCCTTAGCTCAACTGAGACAGAACATATTGATGCCACACTATAGATGAGAAAACTGAGGCCCAGAGAGGTAAAAGGTTTCTTCCAAGGTCACAGAGCTGGTAGTCATGAGCCAGAACTGTCTGACTCTCAAGATACAAGCTCTTTCCAAGGCACCCCAGGATTTTTTTTCAACTTAATACAAATTTATCAGCACAGATTAGTGTCCATGCATAGTGCCCCTGCAAGGCACTAAGAACACAGAGAACAGCCTAATGGGAGAGACAGACGCATGAATTGCAACCTCTAGTATTATGGCTAACGCATGCCTGTGAGAAGTAAAAAAGCCAGGTGGGCAGTTCAATTTATCCTGTTGTATATATTTCTGAAAGCCATCCTTAATCCTTTTAGGAAGAGGCGGTGGGGGGTGGGGGGAGTTAGATTGATAGATTAGGGCTCTAACCAATGAATAAACAAAGGGCAGTGGGAAAATGGGAAGGGAGAGTTTAATTCCCACTCAGAGATCCAAGGAAGTCTCTTAGAGGCTATGATGTTTTGGTTGGGGTTTGGAAAGCAGAACGAATCAGCAAGAGAATATGGGGAAGGGGCTGACCTGTCTACCTCCTTCCACAAGAGAAGTAAAAACAGCGTCCTGATCTGCACTTGCTAAATATTGGTCTGAAACCAGAACACCTACGCATCCCCCTCTAATTTTACCCCCATTCTTACACACATAGGCAGACCTACCGACACACACCCACATGTGCTCACAAATAAAAAGAAACAAACCCAATAGAAAATGTACATAAAACATGCATCAGCACATGTGCAGATACTTGAAACACATAATACACAAAAATAGACACTAGCCCCCATGCGCTCACACAAATACATGTAATACTTATACTCACAGACTCGCAAAGATATTTTTATGCTCTCATACACAAGCACAAGCTACTCTCCCCACTTACTACTCACACAGGTAAATAAATGTATTTTTAAATTAACATATACCCAAGTTCACATACAAATCTCATCCTGCCTTTCTGGGTGGAGGCCAGTGACTAATGGGAAGGCATGCACAAAGGCAAGCACCACGTAGGAGAGGCCAGAAATGGGTTGGCTGGGGCTGGGATTAAGCTCTCTGTCAGATGACAAACCCGCCCCGCCTGGCTCTCCCAGAAGCTGCGTCGCCTGAGCAAGCTCTGGATCCTGGGCAGATGGTGAGAGGCTGCGCCTCGGAATTCCAGCTTTACACGGGGGTTTGGTGTCACCCAGGGCCAAGCTCGGCTATCAGCCCCACCCCAATCCCTGCAGTAGGCAGGCGGCTAGGGCACACATCAGAGCTGTGGCGTGGGGCTTGTCCGAACACAGCACACTGAAAGTACTTAACATTAATGAGGGTTTACTGGGGCCAGGGATTGGAGTAAGCCCTTTCAGTACATTACTTAATTCTCATCTCTGTGACAGGAGGTGTGGGGGTGTTACGTGTCTATCATGCCCATTTTAGAGGTGAGAAAACTGCGCTCAGGCCACAGAAACCACTCAGCAGGAAACAGGACGCTGAGGTTCACTCCTGTCGGAGCCCATTCTCCCCGGGGGGTGGGGGTTAGGGTAAAGTGTGCACGTGAGTCTGTCTCCCCTACGCAGGAAGCTTGCAGCTTCAGATGGGTCTCCAGAGCACCCCACCCTCCCGTCCTGCTTGGCACCGCGCCTGTCCCGCAGCAGGTGTCTGATCCGGGAGTGGATCTTGGTTCAGTGGAGCCCTCAGCATGGGCCTCAGTTTCCCCATCCCTGAAATGGGAATGGCAGCGCAGACCTCGCCAGGCTTTCGCCGGCAGCACAAGCAATGCTGAGCTCTACACTGTCGCGGATGTCGCCCTCGCCCACTGCGGGGGTTCCAGCCCAGTCTCCACCCGAGCCCGGGTGCGTCGCCGGCGCCCCATTGTTCGAGAGGGCGGGGAAGCTCCCGAGAGCGGATTCCCCGCCCCGGGTCGCGCTCGTCGCCCAGTGGAACAGACGACTTGGCCCGGCGTCTGCCGCGCGGGGCGCGTCCTTTGTCTGCTCCGCGGCGCCCGATGCCCGCGGCCCGCGCCCCGCTCCTTGGGTAGACAAAGCCGGGGCTGCCGCGAGCCCGAAGGGCTGGAGTGGGGCTCGTACCACCCTCCTCCCGCCTTAACTCCGCCTCCTCCCCCAGCCGCCCTCTGATTGGTCCGAGGAGCTACAAAGAGGCCGGGAAGCGGGTGAATCACGTGGGTCAGCGTGAGCGCCCATTGGTCGGGCGAGACTGCCAATCGGGGAGGGCGGGCTGTCCGCGCTCGGCCGGGTCGCTCCCTCCGCGCTGGGGCCCGCCCGCGGGGCCGGCCGCCTGTCAGAGGGAGGTGGCGATGGTGCGCCCGGTGGCGGTGGCGGCTGCAGCGGCTTCCCTGGTCCGAGCGCAGGGAGGAGAAGATGACTGACCGACCGACCGAATGACTGAATGAATGAATGGAGGAGCCGAGCGCGCCATGAGGAGCCTGCTGAGCCTGGGCGCCGTCGCCCTGTTGTGCTGCGCCGCCGCCGCCGCCGCCGCGGCCGCCTCAACAACCTCGGCGGGGAATGTCACCGGTGGCGGCGGGGCCGCTGGGCAGGTGGACGCGTCGCCGGGCCCGGGGCTAGGGGCCGAGCTCAGCCGCCCTTTCTCTAAGGCGACGCCTCCCACGGCCCAGGCCCCGCGGACCCGAGCGCCGCGCGCTACCGTCCACCAGCCTCTGGCTGCGTCCTCCTCAGCCCCGTCCCCGGAGACCACCCCTCCTCGGGCGACCGCCGGACCCACCGCGACCGCCTTCCAGGCTCCGCTCAGCCCCTCGCCGACCGCCCCGCCGGCGGCGGACCGTACGCCAACCACCCCTCACGCGACACCCAGACCCGCGCCGACCACCCTCTGGACGAGCACTGGCCCGGCGCCGACCACCCCTGTAGCGACCACCATCCCGGCGCCCACCACCCCGCAGACCCCGACCCCCGTGCTCCCCGGCGTCAGCAGCGTCCCGCCCACCCCACCTGCCACCGAGGCCCCCACTCCCCCTCCCCCAGGTGAGTCCCCGCGCCCCTCGCCGGCTGCACCCAGCCCCGCGGCTGCCCACCCTTATCCCAGCCCAGGGGCCTCGGGGGTTGGGCTGGTGCCCGGAATTGATCATCCCTCGCCCCAAAGTTTCCCCAGATTTCGACTCCCATGGCGGGGGAAGGACCGAGCTCCAGTTCGCCCGCCACCCCCTCCCGAATTTGGAAAGTCTTTTGTCCCCCCTGGGCTGTGCTTCCTAGGGAGGGGGGCGGCTGCGGTGTGGACGGCATCGCATCTCGCTTCCAAACGGGGCTTTCTGGCCTTTGTCGGAGACCCAGAATGGGCGCAAACTTTTGGGTTCGATTCGCTCACCCTGCCTCTCCGCGGGGTTATTTCGGGAAGTTTGAAAGCCAGCACGGTACCTCCTTCAACCGATGGGTCAAAAACTGAGTATAAGGGATTCCTTCCAAAGCTTCCGTTTCCTTGTTCATTTCTCCTCTCGTGTGTGTGTGTGTGTGTGTGTGTGTGTGTGTGTGTGTGTGTGATGTGCATGTGACAGGTGGAAGCGATATTAAGGATTTTGTTTACAGCAGTAGGACAAACCACTAGAGGCCAAAAAAAAAAAAAAAAAAAAAAGGCAGTGTAATCCATGTTTTCCCTGCAAATAACTGGATTCAGTAGGTTATTTGGGACAGGTGTGTATCTAGGTTGAGCTTGCCTATAAATTAGGTTAAATCCCTTCCTTGCACCATTTTTTCTTCCTCAATTACAAGGTCAATATGTTTGGACAAATACACAATTTAAGCAGGGATGCCCATTCCCCCCTCCTCCCCCCTTAAGTTAGAAGGTTCAGTTTGGAGGATGCTGATAAATGCCAAGGTCCGCAGAAAAATTAGGCTCTTTTTCCTGCTGGTTGAAGTCTTGAAGCAAAGTTAGAGACAACTCCTGTTCTTGTCTCCTTTTAATCTAAAGTGGGCTGGGACTAAACAAATAAGACCTGCCTTGTCAAGATATTAGACAAGAGTTTCTGAATTCCTTTGCCGGAGTCGGGGTGGGGATTTGTCCAAACTATTTCCCAAGCTGTACTTACATTAATGGATCTCTGACCTAATTCTTAGGCTCAGCGATTTACTGTACAGTCAGGTATGGACTTTGGACTATAAATGAATTTGTAGAGAATTTTCCCACATGATTATGAGGCTTAATACAGCCTTGAATCTTGGGTTGGAGCTTGGCATTGACATCCGGAGGAATGAAGATTATTCAACCATAAAAAGCTAAGTTTGCATCTCTTCTAGCTTAAAGGAGTATATGAACTGGCTGGATTTTGACTGTACCCTTTTTTGGCTTTGGTATAGAGAGATTGACATATTGCTGAGAGACAGGAAGCATAGCGGTTGAGAGTGTGGACTTGCGTCCATTCATAGGTTTGAATCCTAGCTCTGCCCCTTAAGAGCTGTATAATCTTGGGCAGGTCATTTAACCTCTTTTCAACTAGGAAAGGAAGATAATAATAGTACCTACTTCATAGGATTGTTGTGACGATTAACTAACTTAATACATTTATGGGGCTTAGAACAGTTCCTGGTGCAGAGTAAGCACCTTGTGTGTTAGCCTTATGCCTACAGTTGTGTGTGTGTGTGTGTGTGTGTGTGTGTGTGTGAGAGAGAGAGAGAGAGAGAGAGAGAAAGAAAGCAGTTGAGACCTAATAGTAACATGGTGATTTTTTGTTGTTGTGGTAGTAAAATAAAATAGAAAAAGGTTGAATTAGATGTTCCAGAGTTTGAAGCACACAGTAACATTTAAGTAGTTGAAAGATCACTTATCTTGAATGCTGAGTATATGTTAAGTAAGTCTGTGTAATCGATGTTATTTTACCTTTATTATTTTTGTATTGTTATTTTTAAATCACAAAGTTAACCTCTAGTTCCAAAAAATACAAATAATCAGAAGTCTACACAGGGAAAAGTGAAAGTCACTCCTTTACTGTTTCCTACTTCCAGTCAGTCCCTAGAGGTTACTACTGTTAACAGTTTGATCTCTTTTCAGACATTTCTCTGGGCATACATACACAGAAGGTTTTTAAAAATAGTCTTAAAAAACTCAAAATAACTCTACATATTGTTTTGTAACTTGCTGTATTCACTTAACTATGTATTGTGGGCTTTTTTCCCTCCATGTCTATACTTAAGGTCTTACCTTATTCATCTTAACAGTTACATTTTTTGGCATAAGAATAATATTTTTTAAACTAATCTCTTACTGATGGACACTTAGGTTGCTTCTGGGATTCACTTTAAAAAGTGCAGAGAAAAATGTGTCCTTGTTAAGCCCATCACGTGCATATTCTCCAATATTTGGGCCGAAGTTTCAAAGAATCCAATTTCAAGGGAAGTAAGCTGGATTGATGAATATGTGTCATGTGCACTGTTCAAGGCTTGAGTCACTTCCGGGGACTTATGTACACCTATGTCTCCAGTGGTCTTTGGGTGACAAGAGTTTTAGGAGCCTGTCCAACATCAGTAGCTCTTCTGTGGTTTTTCTTCTTCTGTGTTTTAAATTTAACATTGTTCATACTTTTTGCATTTTTTTGTGTCTAGTTCTCAGCAGCTGAACTGAACTTTGCGGGCCTACTGATAGGTAGTTTTGGCTTTATTTGATACAATCAAGTATGGCCTTTTTTATCTGAGCATGGGTTCTAGTCTGCTTCAAACAGTGCACATGTCTCTTTGACCGAGAGAAAAGTTCTCACTGATTTTGAGAGACCTCGTTTGGCTTGCAAAGTTGGATTCTCTGGCATTTGGGGAGATGGTTATACTGGGTATTCCATGCTCCTGTGAGGACGGAATGCCGTTGATAATATATTATGTGATTAGATGGGTCTCCTAGCTGCTCTTTGATTTAGTAAGAATTTCTTTCATAGAGGTCTAGCTGACAGCTCTTGCCTGGCCCTCAGTTAGGGCCCTCTTTTGTTTATAGGACACTGATCTGCAAACTGAAACTAATTGCCCAGCAAACAGGCACTTTCCTCCCACAGACTTGGCAAAACATTTGGCTGATTGGTTGGCTGAGTAGGACATTTTAAGAAGGGTTAAGCGACAGGCGGTGATGCCAGACGATGGTAGTTATCAGCAATAAGAGACTGAGGTGATGACAGATGTTTGATTTTTAAAATTATGGACCTTTAAGGCTAGATAGGATTTTAGAAGCCACCACCTCCTAGCATGGCTCTACATTTTAAAAACTTTTTATTTTTATTTATTTATTTATTTATTTATTTATTTATCATTTTAAAGAGAGAGCATGTGCAAGTGAGGAAGAGGGGCAGAGGTGTGGAGAGAGGGAATTCTAAGCAGGCTTCATGCTCAGTGCAGAGCCTGATGCAGGGCTCCATCCCACGACCCTGGGATCATGACCTGAGCTGAAATCAAGAGTCGGAGGCTCAACTGACTGAGCCACCTGCGTGCCCCATACATTTTAAGAAATACTTCCAAGAGTTAGCTGAAATATGTCTCTCTGTGGTTAACACTGACTGGTTCTGGTTCTGCCCTTTGGGGCTGTGGGGAGCAAGTGCTCTCTGTGCCATGATAGTTCTTCAGGGATGTGGAGCTAGTGATCACGTTCTCTCTGAGTCTGCACTAAATAACTTCAGCTCCCTCAACTGTTCTTTAGGTGACATGGTTTCAGATTCCCTCACTGTCTTGGTCACCCCTCTCCTGGACTTTTCAGTCTTTCTGCATCTCAAAGTGTGGAGCCTCAAGCTGAAAGCAGTACTTCGGATGTGCTCTAACTAGCTTGCAGTAGAGAAGGCGGTTACCCCTTTACTTCTGGATGCTATACCGCCGTTGATGTAGTTAGTTCCTAATCACAGTAGCTTTTTCGGCAGCCACATTATGTTGTTGACTCATTGAGTCCATTAAGATAGCTGAGCCTCCAAAAAAAAAAACAAAAAAACAAACAAAAAAAACCCCACACACACATACTAGTTGAGTGTTTCTTCATTCTGGACATGGAAATTCCTATTATTATCTAAGGTATGAACTAAGACATTTGGTAAACATGTAGATTTATCGTGCTAGATTCAAGCCATCCTTTCAGATCCCAGGTCTGTCAGTGCGCCCCACCCGGTTTATTCACATTCACCTACAGGGTGTTCCAATAGACAGAGTCTAAGGACAAGTTAGAGCAGGTTATTCTTACCTCATGGGGAGAGTGAATTTATGTATGATAAAATAGTTTGGAAGGGAAGGAGAAATAGTTTAGTTCCCAAGGGTCTCTTCTCGCTCTAAAGTTCTGTGATGGTTTGGTATGTGTGGTTCAGGGCACATCAATGCCCCTCAAAGAGGCTTAATCATTTATTGATGATCTAAGTTAAGAGAATAGGCTTTATTTAAGCAAGCCTTAGAATTTAAAGCTTGAAAATTCTGACCAGTATGACATGTAAATAAAAGATCATGAATGGATTTTGTTTGAAAGGAACGTTTTGGGGATGTGGGGCCCTCCTAACTGTACAAGGAAATGGTCTCTTCATCTTAAAATTCTCTGCTGTTAGGTTCAGAGCATTATTTGCTTGTGGTTATTTAAGAAGATGCTATTCATTTTAGGGACATACAACTCGTTCAGGCTCCAAAGGTAATGTAGGTCCACTATCTTTTATCCAAAACCTATGGGGCTAGATATGTTTCAGAGTTCAGATTTTTTTTTCTTAATTTTAGGAAGTCAATAAATATATCTTGGTGAAGTCTAGGGCAGCCTCCTAAAATCAAAAACATGAAGATATTTGCAGCAAAGTGCATGTATATTTACAGTGAGTGGGATAAATAAAGATTGTAAAAAATAGCCTTACATTTGTTCAGGTCAGGTATTGCTGCCAGATGAGTTACAGAAAAAATGTTGGTTTTTGGATCTTCTGGGACTTGGGATCAGGTCTGAGGGCTTAAGAACCACTGTTAACAGTAACTGAAAAACACATATAATGCTCACTATATTCCAGACAGTGCCTGAGTGCCTTGCACATATTAATTTACTTAAT